ATGAACATCATGCCCCTGTAGGTGTAAGGTTTCTCTTTGGCTGTGGACGCTCATAAAAACAGCCTTTCTCTGTACTAATGTAACAGTCCTTTTCAAGGCACAAATTGTTCAGTGTCTGTGCCAGCAGTTAGACATGTAGCCGTCCAACTCACTTTGCTTGTGTTTTGTAGGCTGGTTCAAATAGCATTTCTCCTCTAATGCTGCAAGCATTTTATCCCCAGTCACTTTCTGTGCACGCTCTCTCTTCTTAGAGAGCATTAGCCTCGCATTAGTCATTCTGCTGTTCCCCAGAATCTTTTTCATTCTGCCTGAATCAAACTTTTACATCTGTTTTTGCCCCACTTTTATGTCTCTCTTTGCGTTTGGGAACAAAATTAGTGATCAACTTGAAGGGTGATTTTGAGTCAACTCTATTGTTTTTCTTTTTGCTGATAATTTTAGAACCTTCATGCTTTCCAACATAAAAATCAAGAATAAGAATTTAGCCCTGAAATAAGAGTTCATCCCAGTCCTATGACAATCAAGTGCACGTAATACAGGTTTTAAACAAACCCAGTGTTCCATAACAATGTTAAAAATACTTGCTCATCCATTGTTTCAAAATGAAAAACAAGTGCTTATGGCTGTTTCTTGGAATCAATATAATTTATTACAAAAACAAATAAACAAAAAAAACCAAAATTAATAAATAGTGCCCCCATCATGTCAGAATGACATTGCTTGAAGGACATAAGGACATTAATATAATGGTAGTTTTACAATCGCTCTTGTAAGTACAACAGTGGATGCTCACTTATCCCTTCTTCTGTTGAAGCATAAGGATGCCACTGGAGTCCCCACCTTGTCATCCTGCTGGGCTGCATTTTGTCAATGCTGAGGGAATGTGTTTATGTGAACCAGTGTAAGGTGTCCTTACATTCGCTACCTTAGAAAAGAGCAACATACTTTAAAAAATAAAAGTGGTTGTGAATCTTCAGTATTTATGTCAGGTAAACTCCTTTTCAAGAATTATTTTTTTGAAATTTTCTTTTACACATCAAGACTCAACCTTCCTTTTTTTTTTTTTTTTTTTCCCCATCTCAATACAAAATTCTGGCAGCAAGGGCTGTTTGAGACAGGCCTTCAGCAAAATCAACTTGTAAGACCTGAAATGCAACAGCAAGCTATTTCATCATTTGGGAAATTCAATTGTCAAGCTTTTTTCTTCTTGAAAACATTTTATGAAAGAACCTGAAAACAAGCAGCTAAGGAGATTGTACATTTTTACAGTGATGAACACCAGTGCCATTTCTTTCCCTGTTTATCTGCACATGTACTCTTACTATATGTCTTATGTCCTTTGCGGCAAACTAACTCTCAGGAGTTGTTTTCTTCTTGCTTCTTTTTTTACTGCAGGTTAATACCTTCAATCATTGAAGTAAACATCAAAATCCATAGGAAATACACAGAAAATCATCTAGTTAGGAGAAATTCACTGCGAGTGGAATACGTGATAACACCTGATAGATCTGATACAAAAACCAACATAATTTCATAATCATACCCCACCCTTGGGCCGTAAGGAAGGTTCTTACATGAGATCAAGTCATGCAAGGAAATAACCCCCAAGTTTACATCTGATTATAGCAAATATATGGGAGATGTGAACAGGGTTGGCCCAGCTAGGCCATATGATGAACACCAAGGATCATGGCATCGTATAAAACTGGGCATCTGTATGGTACAGCTGGCTATGCATAATATTCTCCTAATTTATAAGGCTGAAGCATCTGCTTCTGCTGCTGCTGCTCCATCAGCTTTTCCAGAAGTCTGCTACTGAATGCCTAGTAGTCAAATATTGCAGTTGTGTGTGCCAGTGGAACAGGAAGTTGATATCATTTACAGTGGGAGATTAGGTGCTACTCTATTCCACAGATAAGGTAATGTTCAGCATGGTGAGGTAGAAAGGGTTGGCCTTGTGGGATGGGCTCCACTTCACAGAAAGATCAATAATGGCGTACTCTAAAAGATGTAATATTTATTTCTTGTTGGCAAGATCCCCAGCTGTGACAGGAGGACGTGGTCACATGAGGCCACTGCAACAGGCTGTGTGTGTGACTGTGGACATCCCCAGTGATGCAGCAGGCGAGATCTTAGAGAACAAATTGTGCAAGTCCTGATTTTGTTCTTCTGCTTCATCTTTCCACTTTATGGAAATGCTGTGGCTCTAGTAACCAGTATTTTATAGAATTGTAGTATCATAGAATGACTTGGGTTAAAGAGGGCAGTGATGATCATCTAGTTTCAACCCAGGCTTTGGCTCTTTGCTTGGAAGTGTCTGCTCTGCAAGTGGGAAAAAATTTGGGGGAGGGGTTTTCAGCTGGACCCTGCAAACTGCTTGCCAGAAGTACAGGTTAGCTGGAAATGTCAGCAACTGTAATCTCATGAGCCTTAGCCATGGCCTACATTAGAAGATGGATCCTGCCAGGCACCCTCCGCAATCAGAGGCTCTGAAAGGCTGGCTTGTGAGCCTAGCTCTCTCCAAATGCTAAAAAGGTGCTTGAGGCAATGGCTTGTAGTGGAATTGCATGGACACTACTCTCTTCCACCCTATTCAGGCTTCATTGCAGAAGGCCCTCCATGGTTTGCAGCAGAGAAGAGGCCAGGAGAGTTCCAGCATGTGTTCTCCATGGACAGACCCATTCTGGGGATCAAGCCAACAACTTGAAGGCATCCTGCCTTGTGTGCACATGTGCTGAACACCCCACATGTCAGCTCTGAGAGGTGGACCCACACCAGAGACAACCTTGTACCCATGAGAAGGAAGGGGGGAGAAAGCCAGAATTCACTTTTCCAATTATTTCCAAACTGTTATTGTAGAACAGGAGAAAGTTATTCCTCCTTTTTGCCTTCACAGAGATATTAACAGCAGTGCAGCATACGGGGTAAGGCATCCAAAATTTTGTTTTTAGAAGCAACAGCATTACCAGCACTGTCTAGGTGCTGTGGGTGCAGATCATGCAGTCGGTACCTTCATGAACCCTCTGTTCTGCAAACCCATTGTTGTAGGAAAAGGGCACTATTGCTGCCTGTGGAGAAAAAATATGGCACTAACCATTTTACCAGAACCTTCCCTAGTAAAATTACATTGCAAAGCCATGCCAAAAATAAATTCAAATTCCAAACAGAAAGAGAAAATTGACTTTTGCAGAACATCATGCAGTTGTTAATAATAAATCAAGTTGCTTTCAGAATGGAAGCGATTCCTGCAACTCTTGCACCACTTTCTGTAAGGCTGTGTTGTTGCTAAGGAAGTGAAATCTTGTTAGCAAATACAACAGCACAAGACTTCTTCAGATTTCTAATTCTTTTTCCCATTGTACGATTCTGTATAATTTTATCAAGTTAAAAAAGAAAAATAATTTGGTTTCCAACTTCTGTGAGTCCATAGGAGTTGGGAGTTGGGCTAGATGACTTTTAAAGGTCCTTTCCAACTCTGAGGATTCTATGATTCTATAGCATGGCACCTACTACATTTCTAGCCAGGTCCAAACTCTTCAGGCATCTTCTTCTTTATAAATTCTGCTGAAGATTTAGAGTCCTAAACATTTTTATGCTCTGAATCTGACATGGGTACAGTATCTAGAGACTGTTCCCTGACCAGGATTAGTAGATGTGACCATAATAAAAGTTTATCTTAGTTTAACAAGGGTAAAATGAGCTGCACTAAGGCAAGAAGTGAATTTGAGAAAGAACTTGAATTACTGCAAATATCTTCAGGTTGTGATAAGCCACAAGTGGATGAAGTCACCAGTGCTGCAATACACAACGTGCTGTTTCCTAACACTTTGCCTGAGCAGTTTTATGAAGGTTCTGCCCAGTGCAAGGGGTAGAGCAGGGCAGCATCGTGCAGGTTGCATGCAGTTCTTGCAACTTATCAGCAGTTGCTGAGATCTGGAATTGGTCATGGGGCTTGGTATTGTTTCGAGGTTTAAGTAGTCTCATTTCCCAAATAAATGTAACTGAATTAAGAAACTGTGCAATAGGGGCACAGTAAAACCACTGGAAGAAGAGGGAGAGGAGTAAATAGGGAAGCACTGAGCAGGAAACCTGATTTTATGGACTAAGTGTGTGGACACGATTAGATTCTTGCAAGAGAAGTCATTCAAATACATCGTGTTAGAATCAGATGGCAGAAATATTTAATATGTGATGTCTTTTTTCATTTTGGTAAGGGCACAAGTGACTGGCATTCACTTACTTAAACACGGCCTCTTCCCCAATTCCTGCTGCTGGCATCCTGCTGCTGCTTTCAGCAGTGCTGCTTGTAGGTGAGGTGCTGATGACAAAAGAATTCACCCCTTTATCTGTAAATTATGGGAAAAGTGGAGAGCAACTATGTAGCAGGGAACTCCATTTACCCAAGCGTGAAACTTTGCTTTCTTAAGCCTGGCCCTCTCTCACTGCCTCATATAATTCCCAATAGTAGAATGATGTTAAGTGCAAAGGTTATTATTAGTTACAGACCTAGTAGAACTGGCAAAAGCCACTTCCCTTCTCCATTGGTGGCTTAGTGTGTATCTACTCAGTCCTTGCCCAGGAAAACTTTTCTCTTGTGAGACAAAGACAAGGAAGAGTGGAATCGTTGGAAATCACAGGTGATGGATAGAGTTTGTTCATCATTATTGGTTTAAAATAGAGGTCTCTTCCCCGTAAATGTCTGTCATTAACTGAAAGCAAGGATCTTTTCCGTTTCAGTGTACATGTTTTCCTGTCTAATTGTACAATGGTTTCACTACCAGAAATGTTACACTGAGGACACTATGAAGGCATAGCACTGGGCACACATTTTAAAGGACTTCTATTTCACTTTCTTCTACAACCTTTGTTATAGAAGAAACAAAGTGTTTGAAACTTCTAAGTCATAAATCATATTTTAACTCCAAGTTTTAAAACAGAAAACCGAGAAAACCGTAGAAACAATCTTAAAGATATTTTCACAAGTGCTTTTAACATTTTTTTATTACAATATAAATGCAGATACATATTGTCTTAAATTGTGCTATAGGGCATACAAAGAATACTTGAGATTTGTGTAACATTAAATGATTAATAAAATTAATTATTTAATGCAGCAAAGTTTAATTTAAAAAAGCATCCACATATGTAGTCCAGCCATATTCTAGACCCCAGATGTCAGTTTACAGCTGGGCCTGTAACAGGAGGCAGCCTCCACTGTTATTGCAGTAACTGGGAAGAGAAAGAACTGCTGCTGCAGTGCATGTTTAAGCAGCATGCTATGAACTTCAACTGAAGATGCCTTCTGCCTACACCCCTCTTGTACCTCTGTAAGCTGTTCTGCCTTGTACAGTACAGGGAAAGCTCTTCATCAGTGTAGGGAAATCACCTAGAAACAAGCTCCTTAGCCTGAACTAGTGACTGTATCTCAAGAAAGACTGATGTTATGCATCACTTGAGGAAGTAGAAGAAGGAAAATCTGTTACAGTCATGCTATAGCCAGGAGGCACCCAGGCTCAAAGTCTGAAGATTTCCTAGTTTTCTCTCTTAGAAAGGACCTAAACTTAAGCTTGCTGTGGCCAATGTCACAGATGTCCTAATGTGCTTTGCACCTTGGCACCTGCAAGGCAGGATGAATAGTAAATCTCTCTGCTGAGCAAGTGATACATTAATATAATACAGTGATTGAGGTGAGAAAATAGACTATTCAGACCAGCTAGTTGAAATAACTCTTTCATTCTGGCTCATAGAAACTAATGAAATTTCATAAACGACTCATTTTTAAACACATAATACCTAAATAATGGCCATTAAGTGAGGATGGGTACATCTAGACTAAACACACTGGGTAAATCCCTAGAGATGTTGCAGCAGAATTGCCTGTTAACAAAGCTGGAGACCACTCATTTTCCTGGTTAATAATTGCACGATGGCAATAAAAACTGAGGAAACAATATTATACATAACTGGTTGAAGAAAGGGAAGAGGGAGGCATTTCTGAGCACTCTGACAGCATGCAAATAATTATCCACACTGTTCTTCTAACCTTTTTGGGCTTATCGTTCTCGTCTGGAGTGAAACGAGCCAAGAAGATGCAAGAACTCTGGCAAACGATGCCCTCTGAGACAGCAGCGTTCCTGCCATGTGCCACCTTCTCCTTTTGGGGAGCGGGTGGCTGTCAGCTTGCTGCATCTTCTCTGGCTCTGGCAGCGGCCACCTGGTCACAGCAGCACAGTGCACTGTCTGTTGCTGTAGGCACTGCTGCGGCCCAGCACCAGCACTGATGTTCTAGCCACGATGCAGTAGCTGATTCCCGGCCTCAGGTCTTCTATTTTGATCACTTTGTCTTTTCCTTCATACACCAGCACTCTGTGTTGCTTCAGACAGAGGGAGGAGAAACAGCTGGTCATGCATGTGTGTCTATGACTAAGCTGGGAAGGATGAAAAGTTCAGAGCAACACATGGGTTGGCATTAAGTCAACAACATTAACTAGCATTAGTTATTTATGTGTTAGTTTTGGTGTTGTTTTCTTTTCTTTCTCAAAAAAAAAACCACCCCAAATTGCCCTCATTTCCCAACTGTTTCAACTAGGCTTTAGATTCTGAAATACTACACCAATGGGAATGAAGAAAGTGGGGATGAATTACAACCCAGTTCAACCAAATTCAATTCCTGAAAAATAAGCTTACTTTGTGTTTAGATACACAGCCATTTACACTCTTCCAATCCCAGAGGGCTGTAAAAGGGAAGAGTGTGCCTATATTCTCTTGGCTTTTCAATGGTAAAGAGTTTATATCTGAATATGTACTTACCTCATCTAGCAAGTTGTTAATTATGAAGACTTGGTACAGAAGATCATAATAATTTGTCATTGGTATCATGCTGCCTGTCTTCCTTTTATAAGCCGAACGTGGAGCCTGGAGCTTTAGTATTACAAATTTGTTGCTGTGAACCACCTTTATTGTTGGAGGTCCTATCATAGCTAAGGGTATAAACAAAGCTGTGAATATGATTGTAGCATGTTTATTAATAATGATCCACAGAACAGAATGCTTTGGATTCTTTGCCCTGATTCTTTTTCTTCATGTTTTTCTGCTATGTTGAGCTGCAGAAATGTTTGAACCATTTCAGGTCAAGGACAGCTTCAGTCATTCTTCTCCAAACTCATGGAGCCTGCTTGGTTAAAGACAGCTGAGGTTTCACATGGTGCCTGTGTACCCCTGAAGGCAGTGGCTGCCCCACATTTTCTCAGGAGGATGTGGTGCAGGGCAAGGTGAGCTGCTGCTGCTGCAAGATGCAGCTCCAGCTCAAATCATGCGGTCTTGCCTACACAGAACAAGTTAGTTTGTGCTTCAGGGCTGTGAAGTGACTTGTGCTGGTGACTACGCTTCAGTTTTACATTGACCAGAGAGGTAAAATATTGATAATTTATGGGAGCTTACTGGTAAAAGTATTGATACTGCTTAGTGTGCTAACAGTCCTGCAGTTTCATTGTGCACTATGGAATTGCAATGGCTGTACTAACTAAAAGCTCTGTGTGCGCCCTTTCTAAATATACCACTGCCAGGAGAATACATGTGGGAAAAACACATGCATGTGAGAAGGCTGTTGGCTATGCAGCTGCCTTCTCTCTTCTCCCCTTTCCCTCTGGCAGAGAACATTTCCTTCTTCACACTGTGCTCAATCCTTCCAGCAGCCCCCAAAACTGCTGCAAGTATTTTGTGGAGTTCCATGAGGGAGAGCTTGAGTGGAAGGGAGCCAGGGATTTCTGATCCCCGAATTGTAGCTAAGATGCTGCTCATCTGAAATTGGTTCAAGTGTGGGGAAAGTTATTACGTCGCAAACACTTCACCTGAGAGCTGTGGACGCACAACTTCTTTTGGTACAGTCTTCTAGCTAGCAGGGGATCACTTTTGACAGCAGTTTGGGAGCAAAAATGCTGTGCTCCATGCTGCAGAAAACCCAGCCCCATGCTCAGAGAGCCCGTGTGTTTGCACTTACTTTCTCTCCAGGGAGTGAACCTGCAGCTGAGGCTCCAGTCGGAGCGGACCTCAGTGGAAGCGGCTTGCACCCTGCTGTAGTAAGCCTCATAGGCGTCAGAAGTCTCCTCTGTCAGGTCGCAGAAATGGCTCCGAATCCCCCAGCACTCTTCTTTGTTTTGCCATTTGCTCTGCCCATACCTTTGGGGAAAGGAGGAGCAATGCGAGCCCTAGCTATCATCAAACAGATTTGTGCAGACTTGTAACAGTCTATCCCCCAAAGGAACCAAAGGCTTTCATGCTGTGAGGTGCTGGACTGGACCAGGCCTCCCTTGTGGAGCAGGCTCCCTCTGAGGAACAGGTAGCAGCACTGCACCCTGTGGCACAGTGGCCACCGAACCCCTGAGTGTGCTCCTGCAAGATGCCTGGCCTACCAGACCTGCCTGGGGCAGGCTGATGGTCTCAGAGGCCCCCCACACAAACTGCATGTATGTGCCATGCTGAGGTGCCATGAGGGTGTGTGTCACGTTGCTAGACGTGCTTGACCTCCATGTCTTTCAGGCTGCTCAGCTGCACTTTACGGGCTTGTGATAAGTGCAGGGAGCTGGCAGCGGTGAAGGACATGGCTGTGCCCCAGGTATCCTTTGGCACCTGAGAGATCCCTTTGGCTTGCCAAGCAGGGATGGGCTGCTGCTGGATGAGGCATGCTGGAGTTCCCCCGGCACTTACACTTTATACTGCACAAAGTAGAGCGTGGTTTCTCCCTCTCCAGCCCTTCCAGGCAGCCAGCGCAGGGTATTGTTGAAATTCAGTGAGTAAAACCGTACCCCCCGTGGCTTGATTGCATCTTGCAGGTCTTGATTTTCCAGGACTGGAATGGCTGCAAATAGTAAGGAACAGTGACAGCACGCATTTCTCTCAGGCAGGCACCTCTGCATCCAGGCACACACTGCTCGGGTGGTTCTAGGCTAGCAGCTGGTAGGGAAGTTCAGTCTGGGTTTCATGTTCCAAACTTTCCACGTTGCAGTGAGCAGATGTAGAAATTACAGACCACAGCCAGGATTGTGAAAGGAACAAATCATGGTGGTTTTTTTTTGTTTTTTTGTTTTTGTTTGTTTTGTTTTTCTTTCATAATTGAATTTACTGCCATTAAAGATGCCCAGTGGACACCCCAGCAGAGAAACCCTTCCGATCGGCTCCTAAAGCATGCAGTACACAGCTGCACCAGTAGTTAAAGGTAGGTGCTCTGTCCTTCCTATCTCAGATTTAGCCTGCAGGAACTATATTTTAACAATGGTGTATAGTGTACGGTATCTATGTTTTAATAGTTACCACGGCTGTGTTTGTTTTTTCTTGCCTAATAAAATAGTATAACATTCACTGTTTTTCTCATCTGAACTGATGAAAAAAGCTGTCTGGCAGCTTTCAAAATAAGCTGTTTCCAAAGTGAAACAGATACAGGTGACAAAATCAGTTAACACTCCTGAAGCATCCAAATCCTAACAGGTTTCTGGATTTCATGACCCACCTGACTTAATGTGCCCACAGTTTTATCTGCAGTATATCTCAGAACCAGAGACTCAGACACACAGAATTGAACTGAAGCTGTAAGTAAATGTGATGAACATCACACTCATTTCAGCTGCATTTTGAAAGACAAAATGAGACTAATTTGGAAATGACAGGACTTCTGAAACCAGCCTCTGTATCCAGAGATTTCCTGACTTGCCCAGCTTTGTGAACAGACCCAGCCCTCCTCCCCAGGTAGGAAGAAAATTGAAAACCTTTACTTACTGCTTATCTTGTCCTGCAGCAGGTGCATCAGAAAGCAGAGAGAGGAGAGCCTGATCCTCCTCATGCTTAGGAGAGCAGCTCCATGACTGAGAGCATCTCTTTTCCTCTTGGGCATGTCTTATGAGGAAGTAATTATTAAAATGACTTCTCCATTTATAAAGTCCCTGCTGTGGCTTTGATTTAATTTAGTTGAGAAACATATGAGCTGTTCTAAACTAAACACAAGCAATTGTTCCTACTTGGAAACTGCACTCATTCTGAAGTTTGGAACTAATTATGAAGCAAACCAATGAGAAAAATGTCCTTTTTTTTCAGGGACTAATTCCCAAATGTCTGGCAATATTGCTTTATCCCAAAAATATGTCACACAAGCTTGCGTCTTCGCTCTGTTAGGATATTGTTTTTCAGCTTGCCAGTCACTCAGTGCTGCAGAACACAAAATCTTGCTGGAATAACACAAAACAGCGATGAGATGTCATCTTGGTGGCCTGTCTTGGGGTCGAACACAAGAGTGAAGGCTGTCAGAACATTCAGTGCAGGATGCCATTTAGGATCATGTCATCAGAGGGACACGGGGACATGAAACTGCTGCAGTTTTTGCTGTGGAGAGATGGTTGGAGGCTGGGGCTGGCTGAGCCCAGCCCACTGGTCAAAGTGCCACTGTGCATTGGACACACGTTGGGTGTACTGCCACACTGTGTGCACCACGGCAACTCTGAATGCTGTACCACTGGTATGCACATCCCACAGCCCCAAAATGGGATGCTGGGCTTGTGATAAAGCGATCTCACTCTGTGCTGGTAGGTCCTTTATTGCTGTGTGTGCCAGCCTGCAGGGGGCCAGCTGTTGCCTGATGGGTGGTATGGACAATGCGGTCATGCCGAGTGCCGGCACACTGGGTATCCCAGCATGAGCCAGGTGCCCTCACCTCCTGCACACATCAGTGGGCAAGAAGAGACAACCCAAACATGCACAGTGTAGAGCAGCACACAGTAGTAATGCCCACCAATGAATAACCAAGGTAGAAACCACCTGGTTGCAGGAACAAGTCATCTCTGTCTGCAGAAACTTGCCTAACTCCTCACCTTGACTCTGGGAAAAAGACAGAAGAAAACACTGCCAGGATGAAAAAAAAGCGCAAGTTATTGTGCAAATTAAGGTATTTTTTTGATCAAAAGGCATTTGATTGCAGTAGGCAAACTAAACACAACCTAATCAAGAATCTGGTCTTGATGACTTCAGCTGAGCACAATCATCATGCATGCATTGAATTCGCAGCAAGCACATTAAAACTGTAGATGTGTAACTTTGAATAGCTAGTTACCAGAATGTGGTGTTAGCTGCGAAGGAATGCAGAAAAGAAAAAAAAACAAAGAAAGAAAAGAAAATCAAGGTAGAAGGTGGGGAGGCAGTCTTGGCATTGCTTTCTGGGAATTTTTTATCTGTCCACTTACCAAACACATTTTCGAAATTCAATGACTTTTAAGAAATTCCCCACAACACACACAATGAGCATTTCATCATGTTATATGAGCTCAACTGTGGGCATAGGGAACTTTTATGAACTGATCAGCAGGCTGAAATGCCATCAAATTTTAGTCACACCTGTCACAGGTTGTGTATTTACTGACTTGAATTGTACCAACACACCTTACCAGGACCCAAGATTGGAGCTCTGCCAGAATCACTGCTGGTGGCAGCACCTCCCATGACGGCAAGACCTCCCAGAGCTGGGATTGGGTGGCTGCATGACTGGGGCCAGGCTGGATGCCCCTTTGGTTCTCCCTTCCAAATACAGAAAGACTGCTTCTTGCTATGGCTAAACACCTGGGTCATGGAAAAGGTCAGGGCTTCCCACACACCATCAATAGTGCTTGTTCTTTAATTGGGCCTGGCAATGTAATGCAATCTCTTCACATAATTTCACCATTATTGAAACACCCACTGATAATCCCCATGTTTTATCTGTAACATTTTCCTTCTCATGAACTTCAATCATGTCTCCCCAGTGCTCTTTGCGATAAAGACAATTACATTTTAGTGAGTGGCAGCTGCACACACCCATATAGACATACTCATCTTGAGTGCAACACATCTATAGCACATTTAAATAAATAAGAACATATAAGAAACAGTACTGCTTAAGAATACTTTGAATGGTACTTACAATGAAATGAAAATGAAAACATTCCTTTCCCCAGCAGCATCTACATTAATGCTTACTTACATTGCAGAATTTGCTTTGACCCAGACCTTTGTGACACAGCAGTTCTGTGGTTTTGTGAACAGACACAGCTGAAGGCACCAGAATTTTTTCCATTCCTGGAATAAAAACCTCTCCAAATACTGGGTAAACAGAGTTCTTCCTCTTGAAGAATGGCTATTGCCACACAGAGGTGAAAGCTGAGTACCTTCTTGCTGGAAGCTGCCTGACTCATCCCATCTGATAGCTCCACCTTATTGCTTTATTTTCTGCTAGAGCAAGATATTCCTGACCGTAAGAGAGAAAATGTGACCCCAGAAGGGCTCCTCCCGCAGCCACCTCTACGACTGGGTACAGGTCTGCACACAGGTTTCATAGGCTCAGCCCCATGCAACAACCTCTCTTGGCTGGTGGCTCTGGAGCTCAGCTTGTCCAACCCAACGCTCCAAGCTGATAACAGGGTCACCTCACACATCACCACTCCCACTGAAAGCTCTTCCCTCATATATGGAATCGGGATTTCCCTGCTGCAACCCATGACAGTGGCTTTTTGTGTTCAGGTTGCAAGTCTCTGAGCAGAACCCGCCTATATTTTCTGTAAGTGTCCCATTCATCCAGCTGGCAACAGTGCTGAGATCCCCTCCTAATCCACTTCCCTGCCTCTTCTGGCACATTGCGTGCAGCAGCCCTTCACTGCCTTACTGGTGACTTTGAACACGAATCAAAAAAACAAACAACAACAAAAAAAATCCGAAAGAAAAAACCCACATCAACCACCCACATCCAAGCAACGGGGACTTTTATTTCTCAGCCCTTCAGGGAAGGGGCATTACATCACTAGAGTTATTACAGAAAAGTTTCTAAGGAAGTGAGACTGACTTTCTCTATGTACTGTGGGTATTCATTGCTTCCTGCCCACAGGTGTGAACTGTTTACCTCTCGCAGTCAGTGGGCTTGCCTCAACATTTGGGAGATTACAGTAAAAAATGCCAAGTGCCATATCTGCACTTTCATAGTAAGAAACGTGAACGTGCTGAAAGCTCCCTCTGTAGCAAGTCCTTATTTGCACTTGAAATATTTATTTAACAACGTGTGAGACATTGCCTAGCACCACAACATTAGTAACCAACACCAAAGTTCACTCTCTGTAGAGAATGTAAATACAAAAATGGTGCAAAGGCTGTTCTTCCATTGACAAGTTTCTTTAACGAGGCTGATTGTTTCTCTTGTTTGCTAAGCCTTATGTTTTTTTTCCTACTGCTAAAGCACTACAGCTAGTTTTAGCACACAGATAAAAGACCTGGGTTCCGTCAGCTTGTGGGTCCCCCCCCAAAGCACCCACAAGCTAAAGCCTACCAGCAGAGACAGGTGGAGTTACTATTACATAAGGCTTTTTGTTTGCTTTAGCTGAAGCAATGTTAGAAGTGTAGGAAGCATGCCAGGTGATTGCTTGGCCAGCTGAAACACAGATTAGGCAGGAGAGGCACAATACAAACATTGGGCATACCGCCTTTGTCCATCTACCAGAGCAAAGAGAGGTGAGTTGAAGGCAGGCAATGCCAGTGCCTGCTCTCTGCTCCACTGCCAGCAGCAGCTGAGGCAATGCCTGAGCTGTCAGCTGCATGGGCAGGAATTACAGAATATAAAGGCTGGAAAGGACTTTGAAGATCACCAAGTCCAACTACCAGCCCACCCCCACCATGCCCACTGACCACATCCCTCAGTGCCACATCTACGCTGTTTTCAAACACCTCCAGGGACAGTGACTCTATTACCTCCCTGGGCAGCCTGTGCCAACGCCTCACTGCTCTTTCAAATAAGAAAGTTTTTTTAATATCCAACTTAAACCTCTCCTCACGCAACTTGAGGCCATTCCCTGTCAGTGCTACTTGGGAGAAGAGGCCAACCTCCACCTCACCACAACCTCCCTTCAGGCAGCTGTGGAGAGTGATAAGGTCTCCCCTGCTCCTGGTGGCTGCTATTGACCAGCATTCCATGATCCTTTTCCACTCTGCAGCTTTCCAGCCATTTTGCCCCATGCCTGTGGCATTGCGGAGGATTATTTTGACCAAAGCACAGGACCTGGCAAGAACCCATGCTACAACTTTTTTGCAGGCTGATTTTGGAACCCTTTGTGCCTTTCAGGCCAGTGGCTCCTTCATTACACTGCGCTACTAACTGCTGACAATCACAGGGACTTTATCCTGAAGTTCAGATGTGCTTAGTTCTGTGAGGTTTCTGTGCAGGAAGGAAGCTAGGTCACGGTGTATGTTCACAGACTTTTTTTCCCTCCTCCCACCCTGCTTTTTTCTATATACCATCCGCATCTAGAAAATATTAAAGAAAGTTGATGTCCTGTCACTCATCTGTTCTGCAAGTTAAGGTCCACAAGCATCACACCTCCCAGCCTGCAGGTCGGCTCTCTGCTCATCCTTCGGCTTCTCAATAGGGGCTCCCCATCACAGAATCACAGAATCACAGAATCACAGAATCACAGAATCACAGAATCACAGAATCACCTGGGTTGGAAGGGACCTCAAGGATCATGTAGTTCCAACCCCCCTGCCTAGCAGGGCCACCAAACATCCACATTCAGATCAGGTTGCCCAGGACCCCGTCCAACCTGGCCTTGAGCGCACGCTAGAACTGAACTCTTCTAATGACCTTTAGCACTGCTATTCCCAAAACAGCCAGGCCGGTGAGCACATGAGTTTCACAAGACTTTTTCTTTAAAAACAAAAACACAGCAACAGTGCCTCGTGTGGATACAAGTCTCCATGCACTCATGAATCTGCAGAACGAGCTTTTGGGACAGAATCTTTCACACTCAGCAGAACTGGCTTCCATGCTGCTCAGGGGTGTCTGAGCTCACTGTGCTGTGACCATTTAACCAGAAAGAAGAGTCACAGGGTAACAAAGACATCTTTGTTCCCAATTTTCTTTTATCTTACGAGAAATGAAATTTGGCTGTGCGGACCCTTGCATACCTATTTGCCTTCATCTAACTGGGGCTATTCATTAATCTGGTCACCTTTCCCCAGTCCTTGTGGGCAGGACTTGACATGGCATATGTCAACTAAAACTGCCAATTTTGCTGCTCCTCCTGGAAGTAGTATAGAGGCATTATCAATAATCAACCACTCAAATTATGTGTGCTTTATTCCAATTGTATTCAAAAAGACTTTTAGGAAAGGGGGAAAAAAAAAAACAACTAGCTCCTATCCAATGCCTGAAAGAAGGCCAGGCTTCTCCAGTCATCCTGAGATGGTGAACAGAGAGGAATTATAACCTCACTAGCTGGCAGTGTAGAGGCATGGGGAATAAGGATGGGCAGCTGGGAAGAGCCCAAGTGGGAGAAGGGCCTCATCTGCACCTCTGGTCTCTCCCCTGCACTCACCTGCTGCCACATCCAGAAGGACGATAGAGTGAAAAGAATTGCACTCTCTTTTAAATCTAAAGGGACTATATATGCATTCTGTGGAAGGGTATTTTTGAGAGGGCATAACCTTTCAGAGTGTGTGCTACTCCAGAGATGTCAGCACAGGAAAGAGCTGGGTCAGACCTGGCACTGCCTCCGACTGCTGCACCGCACGCACACTGCAAGTATCTGACAGCCTCAGCATTCATTCTGCAGAACACAGCAAGCTGGCTGGAGGATGCTTTTGGCTTGTTCACTCATTGCTTGCTCTGTTTGCAATGCATTTTCTCTTTTAAGGTACACCCAGACACTAGGAAATCAAGTTTCTTCTGCACAAAACAGATGACAAATTAGTTTTTGGCCCAATCACAAATGGGCATGTAAAAAAACATGCACAATTTGTACAGTCATTTCTGAGAACCTGAAATCCTAAGGCTTGAATCTCCTAGCTGGAAGCAGCATGAAGAAAGCACTATTCATAATGTTAAGAAATTACTCAAAAAGAGGAATTTGGAGGGAGGGAATAGAAAATACCTCGAAATGGCACATTCTAGATTTGCCTATGAAATTAAATCAAAACTAACTATTTTAAATCCTGTTGGGTAAATCAGCATGACAGTAGCATCTGATTTCCAAGATACACCTCAGAGTGCACTTGCTCACAATTAAAAAGTGAACAATATATATCTAAGAGTCTTCTATTTATTTAAGCTTCAAACGAAGATGCTAGTAGGAGTTTCAGGGAAGCCTGGCTTTCCTCACTCTGTAGCAATGAACCCATTTGAGCATTTAACCCTCAGACAACATTTTTAAATAGTGTGTGATGACAGTCCCCAGGCTTCAGCATTGGACCCGGAGTTGCTGCATGCTGCATCAGTGGTGTGAACAGAGCTACTGGGCAAAACATGAAACTGCAAAGCTGATGATGTAGCCAGACCCAGTGGATCACAAAGAGCTCCTGCTGTGCGCCAGGCCCCCATCCCTCCAAGACAGGGGAATGGCGCTGTATGACCTCAAAGGAGAGAGACTTTTCCAGTAAGAGGATGCAGTCGTGTCCTCTGTGTCGATCAGAGGATCGCCATTGGCTGTAGTAGGTGGTATTTCACTCAAACTCTTGAGAACAAACAAGCAGCAGCTCTAGTTTGAAATGAATTCTACATGCTGATACATCTGGCAAGTAGAATACAGTTACTGCCTACAAACAATTACACAGCCCCCCAGTGCTGTCCATTCACTTTCAGTAATGCTCAAGCATGTGCTACATACTGTGAGTTAACTGAGCACGCTTCAGAAGCAGACTGAATCTTCAGCACAGAAGCTGACAGAAGGAAAAAGGAGAGCATACACACACTTGTCTCTTGAGGTTTTTTAATTCCATATACAAACATTTTTAATATAGACTATTTACACTGGTAATAAAATTGAGACAGGCTCACTGCAGATAGTTTCTGAAGATAGGAAGGCTTGGGTTAGACACTAAGGAAATGCTTTCTAAGGATGATAACGGCTTGAGCAGATTGCCTGGTGGCTTTGTGAAGTCTTCAGACAGATGCGGAGAAGGAACAACGCCCATCTGGGGAGACAAACAAACTGCAGGCCTGTGGAGGTTCCACACGGTCTGATGCTTGCATCCATTTACAGAACACAGAGTGTAAGAATAAACACAGACCCTCTATTTAAAGGACTGAATTTTTTAAGACCAGACTTAAAAATAAAAAAAATCTATGCAGGTCACTGTAGGAAATCTGTATTTTGGGTTCAGAAACTCGGAAGATGAAAAGGTGCATTTAAGAAAAGACATGCTGAAACTACTAATATGAATTAAGTGCAATAGCTCTATCCACTAGTACTGAACTGCTTACATGGCACCATTTCAGAGTAGTCAGTTATTTCAAGCCTTAGTTGAGAAAAACAGATTTTTGCAATGACACCTTATTACCTAGAATCCAAACTAGTGACGGGCTACATATAAACTTAGCTAAACAACCTGGGCGCTGCATTTTGTTTTCACAGATGCCAACAGATTTGTAAATAACTATTTCTAAGCTACATTATTTATGTAGAAAAATTAGAAATCCAGACAGAGTATAAAACTCTACAGCATCTGTGCAAAAAGGACAGTGAAAGCAGCTCTTAGAGAAGTTGCTAGGCATTAGCCCCAAAGGCTGTGATGCACATGGTTTGACAAAGCACAGAATGTTCTGAAGTCTTGCACTCCATCGACTCCCAAATCATCTGTAGGAGATAGGAATGAGAAGGATGCTGAGCAGCCGTAACAAGAGTAAAAATCACCTGAAACAGGTAAAAGTTCCCTGTGTGTCATACTGAAAGCTGATATTTTATGTCAGTAGGCAGCATGCATGTTAAGTGCTTTTGACCCTGCAAGTGTTAGGCTTCTTAATATCCACTGTCAAGGTACTATAAACAAATATTTAGGAGCTTCAGCAAAGCTTTTGTTCTCACCAAAAGAATATGAGCTTATTCATTTAAATACATTCAATGGATAAATGAAAAAGTATAACTAAATACTACCTATTCTATCTTCAAACTGGCATGGCTCAATTTTTTGGTATGGTAGAGCTGCCAAAGCAGTGCTGTGTCTGGTGAGGCATTTCTGCATTCCTTGCTCCAAAAAGATTTCACACTGCAGCTGTTGGGAACCAGATCAGATCCTAGCAGAAATACCATCGTGCACTCGCTCTGTTCTTAGTCTCACTCTTAACATTCCCGCTGACAACTGCTGTAGAAAGGCCTGGGGAACACGAAGCCTACTGGCCCACAGAACATCTTGAACGATCTAGAAAAAACAACATATAATGCAGTAGTATCAAAGACTGGTGGGGGAAAACAACAAAACACTTGGTCTGCCTGCTTTCAAACAGGCAAAAAAATACCACTTCTCTTCCAGCAAAAAATTTAACAGAAAGAAATACTTTTCCAGAACAGCAAATAATTGCAGAGCTATTCTGTTCACAGATCCATGATGCCTACTCTCAGGCAATAATTTTTCTAACAGTGGCAGGGTACCAACAAAGAGTTAAGAACGTAAACCTCACACTTCCAAGAACTTACATACTTATGACAGAATAGTTTTGAGGCAGACACACTAAACGGAATGCCTACAACAGCTAAGTTTTGATCTCCTTGGAGTACAGTAGCAGTTCAGGACAAAGCTGAGAGAAGGAAAATAAGGTGTAAAGTATGCTCAGCTGAAATATGCTGAGCGTTAGCAAAGGAAAAAGTTACTCAACAAATTAATATCTGGTCACAACCTTCCTTTCCTAAAATAAGCTAATGCAGTGCTTTCTAAGATCCTGCTTTTCCCTTCTGAACCTTGAGGCAGACCTAAGTTAGATTTAGGCACTTAGCTAAAATCTGTCAAGTCCTGAGGTATTCCTGGCAGTTCCTGTTTATAAACAAACAAACAAAGCCTGAAAGAAATGACACTGAAAGAATGACAGCACCTTGCAGCTCTGCACGAAACATCTCCTTGGCAGAACAGACTGCTGAAAGTACTTGTCAGTGGTGAACCATTGACTGAGAAGTCAGCTGAGCTGAAGGTTCGACTGCAAGTTATTTCTAATTTTCAAAGCTTTTGTGTAACACCAAGAGTTGTTCTCTTCATGTCTGCAGCAAAGATATCCATATGTTAGTGCACCCTGAGCAGTATTTCACTCACAGTGCCTTCTAGGAACTCAAACCAAACATGACAAAAACCAACGTACCCTGGGGTCTCACCACACTTGACTATAACAAAGGAACAAATCACAGCCAGGTGACACATTAATCTTTCTAGCTGGGTTCTCCATTATACCATAGTTACAGAATTCACCTGTTTGATTTGGTTTTTCCTAAACTGTTAATGGAGCTGTTATCTTCCTGTGAACAGAGAATGGGAAAAATTGCTATTGTCTTTAAACCTTTGGGGATTCAGCATATACAACTGTGGTTAATGTCAGTCATCTACAGGAAAGGAAGCAGTCCAGTAGCTGCCGTGTGAGCTTTACATTAGGAATACTCATGCCACCGAGAAATATA